TTAGTTACACAATTGGAAACTGAAACCTCCCATTTAGGAGAGACTCCCGTTTCTAGAGGACAATTTTATCTTGAAAACATTTGCATAGATTCGGACTGGAAAATAATGTCCAGTAAAGGAGATGGACGGTCTGAAAGCAAAATCTTACCAATCACACACCTTACAGATATTAGGCTTAAAGGGCTCAATTCATCCTAGAGGATGACTCTGTTATAAGTGCAGGGATCTTCGAAATCCTCCCAGTGGTCATTTGGTTAAATGAGAAGATAATGAAATAGACAGCAATTGGCAGTCAAGAGGTGCTGTGTCTCTGTAACTCTGATTGAAGTCCGTGGCCATTACAGGTGTTAAGCACTTCTAGAGATCATGCCCCAAAATGGCATATCCTATATTTGAAAGAATCCTTGGAAATGATGGAAGTTTCCATAACTGTGAGGAAGGCATAAAACAATCATAAGGAAATTCAGGCAGCATACATAAAGGACATTCTATTTAACTCCCCATCTACCCCAAAACACTAGTAAATCCTGGGGGAAATTTGTGCCAAAAAAAAAAAAAAAAGTTAAAAATTCTGCACACATTTTAAAATTCTGCATATTTTATTTGTCAAAATAACAATATAATCATGCCAGTTTCAATTATTTCGGTAATTTATTTCAAAATACCTGTCACAAGTATGTCTAACAATACAGACAACAAAGAAGATTCAGGAAATGTTTTTTGACAAATAGATTCCTTACTAGGCATATGAATACAGAACTTTGAGTAATAATGCATTTAAACTACAATACAGACATTTCCTGCATCCCTCAGAAGCAGTGCAAAGGCTTGTGGGGAGTCAGGGGTAATGGAGGAGCGGGGGGAGAGGGAAGTAATTGCTGGGCAGGAGCCTGGGAATGAACCCGGAACGTTGTTGAGAGTGAGTAGGAGAAGTATGGAACGTATGTTTGTTTGTTTTGGGGGAGGCAGGGGAGGGATTGTTAGGGAGTTGGGGAGCCTCCCCCATGCAGACCCTGACACCCAGCCTCTCCCATTCAGGCACATCTGCCCCTGTACCCATATGTCCCTGCTCCCCCCTCCCCACGTCTCTGCACCCCCACTCAGCCAACCCCCCTATCCTTATATGGCCCTGCACCCCCACTCAGCCACCCCTTCTCCACCTCTCAGCCACTCCCCTCCACCCTGTCCCCATAGAGCCCTGCACCCCCACTTCCACATTCGCATCAGGCCCTGCATCCCAACTCCCATTCAGCCCCTGGCTCAATGCTGTTATCCCACTAGCTCCTGTGCCCCTTCCCCAATCTGTCCCCCCACTAGCCCTTCTGAACCCCCCAGCAGACCCATGTGCCCATCCCTCCCATATCCCATGTCCCTTCACCTGGCCCCGTGGGCAGGGTGCTGTGAGGAACACAGCCTCTCCTTCTCCCTCTCTGAGGCTGGCTGCTCCAGACCGCAGCCAGCTGCCCTCTCTTCTGGCGCCACAGCCGCTACTGGAGGGCAAAAGGTGTAACTGCAGTGTCTCTCTGGCAGAATCTATTTTCTGGGGAGAAAAAACAAATCTACAGCGGACATTAATTCTGCGCATGCACAGAAGTGCAGAATTCCCCCAGAAGTAACACTAGGCAATAGATTTTTGCAGTAAGATCTTCAAGCATTTGCAGAGTATAAACACCAAGGAAGAAATGGAATTGTTTGAGGTGGTGCAAGGAAAGGGAGTGATCAGAAAATTTCCCCCGACAATGAGTTGTGTTAGGTTGTAGAACAATCTCCCTCAGGAAGCTCCTTCTTACCTAGTAAAATGGACAAAACACTAGAAAATGTACTGCAGGGAACAGTCCTGCACTAGCAGGAAGATGATCTCTAACCATCTTGGCCTTTTCCACCACTAACATCTATGATAACGATTAGAGCACAGAACTGTGTTGATAAGCCACTGACTAAAATTGCAATTCTTTGTATATAGCAAAAACATTTTGTGGCATCTGTTTTTATTTGATTTTCATTGACACCTTGTTCTGTTATCTACAAATAGCCATCAGGACAACCATAACCTATTCTCTTTGTAAAACAGATTTTAGAGACCTCCATTAAACTCCCTTTGTGAGCAATGCTTTGCTTATTCCTTTCCTCTTAACTTGTGCGCCTTGTACCATCTTTTCCAGTAGCATAACTTGTTTCTATATAGTCATAACCAAAACTGAATGAAAAATTAGATGTTATTTCCACTGAAATCGATTAAGCCTATATAGCCTATTGGCCTACTTAGGGTGCTAATGTGTTCTGTTCATATCTTTAATAGAGATGTGCCAAAGGGGTCAATAAAATATTTTGGTAGTGCCAGCTTTGTAATTCAGTTAGTGTAAATGCAGCTGCCAGAGAGAGCTTATTGCACCTGTGTTCTGGTATTTATATTACCTACGAGACCCAGTCAGGGCTAGGGACTGCGTAAATACTTATTACAAGACAAGCCCTAGCCCACCAAGCTTACATTCTAGGCTTAGGTCTCTAAAGTCTGTAGTGGCTTTACATTTATTTCCACTTCCAACTCAAAAGTATAAAATTTTATAAGTTAATCTTTTACTGACTTGGGACCTGCATATCTTTTTTTGGTGCAGTAGAAATCTGCTGAGAGAGCAGGAGGCTGGCTATAGAGGGTACACAGTAGAGGTCCTTCTACTCTAGAACTTGCTTCACCCTTTGGAAGGCCTGTATATTTACAGGATTTTCTGAGGAGATGGAGTGTGGTTTGGGAGTTCTTCCTGGTAAGCAAATCGATAAACAATTTTCCTTGTTACTGTGAACTCATAGGCCGGGGACTGCAGTTTACAATTTCAGCAATAAATTAAGCCAAAAATCTTAAACAGGCTCCCACAAGCTAAACTGGCCAATGATCAACAGCACATGTAATTACAAGCAGCTGCAGAAGTGTCCCAACTTTCAGCAAAGCCCGATAAAGATACTGATACACCACTCACATTTGCTTGAGGAGAAAGGCTCATGTAAACACCACCATGAGACTCCACTCCAACACTGCTAATTGTGGCAGTGAACAACTGGTTATGTCTGCCATAAATCAGAATCACTGCATTCAAATGCTTATTAACAGTATTAAAAAGCATATAATTAGATTGTGCTCCCATGCAACGATCACTTTAGAACCATTATAACTAGCTTTCTATAAATCTTCCTATCCAAAAGTAGAAACTGACAGTCAGTGACGTACATATAGTTGTGTGTAAGGCCAGGTCTACACTACCACGGTAGTTCGACGGCTGGCAATCGAACTTCCGGGTTCGATTTATCGCGTCCGGTCTGGACGCGATAAATCGATCCCGGAAGTGCTCGCCGTCGACTGCGGTACTCCACCTCAGCGAGAGGAGTACTGCGGAGTCGACAGGGGAGCCTGCCTGCCGCGTGTGGACCGCGTCTGAACCGCGGTAAGTTCGAACTAAGGAATAACTAAGGTTATTCACGTAGCTGAAGTTGCGTACCTTAGATCGAATTGGGGTGTTAGTGTAGACCAGGCCTAAGCATCAGTTTATTCAGTGTCTTCTTTAAAAGAGCCCAATAAAGTGTTTTAAAAGTAAAGAATACACATGACTAAAAGGAATACTTGGTTATATTTAAGTATTCTTGACAAACAACTACCTTTCATAACACGCTGCCCAGGATGTGGTTTATGAACATTAAGTTACAAAACCACCATAAATAATTTGATATGACATGGAGGCAATTTTATTTTTCCCCTGGAGAAGCCCAATACTTAACTTTTACTGAACACAAATGATTACTGAGCATTACAGACAACTCTGAACAATTGTTTTAAAGTTCTGAACTCCATTTAAAATTACCAGAGAAGCATGGTTTTGAGGGTGGGATTACGGTTCAGTGAATTTGTTTTTAAAAGCTTCAGCATTCTTTAGTACATTGAAAAGAAAGGCAAGCACAAGATAAGGAAAATCCACAAGACGACAAAATCATTATGCTGAAAGAGTATATTTTGATTTGGTAACAGTTAATGAAAAATTAATGAGAACAGAATACATTCAATGTTTGAAGAGGAGTAGGGAATAAATTTTTTTTAAAAAATTAAGAGCACACCTTTGTTGCCTGGAATGCAAACTATGTTGATCAGAAAAAAACAAATAAAGATCTGTGCCTTTTCCAAAGCACAGAACAAGTCCAAACCATGTAATTTCACTGCTTTTAAACTTACAGCCAACAGGTGTCTGGATTCATTATAAACTGAAGGTTTAACATGAAAAAACTGTACAGATGAGAGAACTGGTTTGCAGTAGGATCAACACTGCATTTCTCTCTTGCACAATTTCACAAAGGGTACTATCAGACTAAGTTCTCTCCAATATGCATAGCCTCAGAAACCTAGTACTCTGAGCCCTCTGCACAAGCAAAAGTGGAGATGTATAGTGAGTTCTACACTTGCACAGAAAACCCATTAGTCTTGAAGAGAGACTCACTGCGCAGACCAGAAGGGACATTTTAGCATTACATTTTTAGAAAGTCAGAGAGTTGCTCCTTATTGAAAATATTCTGAATACAACTTAATATATTAAGGTTCCCAGCTATCTGAATTTGAATAGTAGAAATCTCTCTACTTATAAAGAAATACTAATTTTAAAAACAAAGCCACCAGAGTTTAAAATAAGAAACTGCTAATTCCACAGCTCTAAATACAGCAAGATAAAACCAAATACTGAAGAAACTTCAGGCTAGATATTTGTGGTGAGATTCCCCTAAGGACTTCAGAGCTGCAAAGAAATCCTAGGTGAGGTGTGCCCAAAAAGTAAACTTTGTGATGTTCAGTGTTGCAATACGCCTTTGAAGGCTGAGAATGTCACTTGCCGTGGCCCAGTTTTAAACTGGATCTGTTACGTCTATTGGAAATGCTGTAGCATAGAAAGAAAAAGCCAACAAGTATGCAAGGAGACTGATGATTATAAATGCAGCCAATGTTTTTAAAAGATATACAATCACGTTACTTTAAAAATAAAGTAATATGAACTTTATTCCATAAAAGTTATTCCGTCATCATTAGAGGTAGAGAAGATAAAAAAATAAATACAACAATAGCCTGTAAATTACTTATGCTGGAATATACATATCTGGGAAGAATTATCTGTCAAAGTGACAAACTGTCTTGGAGCTTTTTGAACCATTTGCCTTCAAATTCTATAGCTGATGTAGTTACCAAGGATGTCAGTGCTGAAGGGCCTACACATTTTATCTCTCCCTGAACATCCTCTTTCAGTTTTTCTGGAATGAGATCCTCTCCCATAACCTGCAGGTGAAATAAAAAGGGGGAAGAAAAAAAAACAGAAAAATTACCAGCAGTGAAAATAATACATTCTACAGTAAACAAACATATACTTACATCTAGGAACACTAATAATACAACCAAGCTAAAATTTCCAACTCATGGTCAAACTGTTCACCTACTGCATTGTGCAACAAGAATGGGACACTGAAGGCCCATGTGTCATAGCTACAAAACTCCTCTCAGTTGGTCTTGGCTGTGCTCTGATGTTGGTGTTTTTGCTCACAGAATGAAAGTGAGAAACCTCATTGCCAAATATAAATTCAAGTAATTCACACATGGCAGCAGCATCAATATTTTGATTTTCCAGGAAGGCGGGAATTATACCAAGAAATGCACGAGAAGGGAGTCATTTCCTTTCCCAGATTTAGTGATGTACTAGATAATCTGCATACTACTGCCCTCTAATGAGTGGAATCAGTCCTGCTCTAATGTGTCAGCTTGCAACGGACTTGCCTTTTAGTGGCTGATTAAATAAAAAGTATAAAGTCCTACTAGTGACAGCAAAAGGAGATTCTCCTTGAGTTCAAAGTATATAGATGCCTATGTGTCTTGAGCTCAACACCACAAAATCCTTTGAGGCTGCATGTTTGTAATCTCTATGAACTCAGACATGGAATATATACCCACTCTTATGGAACCATCTAAAACGAGTGTAGAACCTAGTACACAGAATAAGACGACAAAAATTAATACTGTTAAAATAATTATTACAGGGAAGTTTCAGTTTGGTTTTCTGAAAAACTAATAAGAAATTGGAGTGTTTAATAAAACTCCATGCGTTCTCAGTTTGTTGCATGTTTATAATTTTATCTCCTGCATACATTTTTCTTAAAATGAAACCTGTATCCTAATCAAAGCAAAAACAATCAGGTAATAACAGAATACCCCAAAACAACATGCACCTCTTCAGAGTACCTGCAAATGTAAGTCTGAAGAATTGGTGCTTACATAATGCCCCCTCCCCTGGAACATTTCCATTAGACAAATCTCTGCAGACTAAGTGGATCAATATAAGACAGTGTCTATGAACTCTTGTTTCACAATGAAATGGTACACTCACCTCAGTAATCAACAACAAGGATTCTTCCTTTAAACCAAAACCTTTTACTTTGTCTTCAGTTTCCCGCTGAACCTTTAAATTCTTCTCCAGAGCAAAGGATGACTGTTGCAACTGTGTAATCTGAAGTAAAAGCCTGAAAGTAGAAAGTCTCAGTGAAAATATGCAGCCAATTCAGAGAAGTGCTGACTGTCAAAAATATTAAAAAGACAACACGAAATCAAGACTTTTAAAGTATTGTTTTAAAACAAACTATTTTTCTTGGGATTTTTAACCAGGGAAGCAGAGAAAGAGGAGAAATCTGTACACATCTATGCAGGTTATATTATGCTCAACACCGTGATACGAGATAAATCATGATTTGATAGGAGATACCCAGCTTCAGGGTACATCCTGTGCTCAATGTCTGATTTCAGACTTAACAAGAAAGCAGCATCTTGCTGCATATAGAGATATCACTGTAAACAGAAGAGACAGAAACTTCAGTTTTAAGACAAAAAGGCACCTTAGATTCTGAAGAATCTCACGAGCTCATGCTCATTTCCACACAAATGAGTCCTCAAATGTAGTTCTAAAATCTTTCACAACTGCATCCATTTCAGAGGAAGTGCTGCAAGCCTGGGCATAATGCTTTTAGTACATTTACAGACAAGCTCTTTCACCAGCAGACGTTAGTTCAATAAAAGATATTACACCTCACCCCCCTTGTCATTCTGAAGTGGGGATTTGATAAAAAGTCCACAGTTTTAGTACAGAACCTTATTCGCTGGGGGGTGAAATTCATAGGAACATCTCTCCCAAGGAGAAATTCACCCCTATGTAGAGGGCCAGTCAAGACCCATGCACCATTTATGTCTCACTTAAGCCCAGAAAAGCCTAAGAATGCAGTGCGACTTCCATTGGACATAGGCCTTGTGCTGGCACTTTGCACAAGGATGAATTTCACCTAGGAAGAGATTTAATATGCAGATGTGTGTATATCTAAAAATAAACTACAACATTTGGAGAAACTGGGACAAATTGTTAAATTATAGTGTTTACAAACATCTGATACTGAACTCTGTGCATGAAACATGATGCATAGCATATCTTTACCTTGAATGTAGTTTTAGTACAGTAACTCCTCGCTTAACGTTGTATTTATGTTCCTGAAAAATGTGACTTTAAGCAAAACGATGTTAAGCGAATCCAATTTCCCCATAAGAATTAATGTAAATGGGGGGGTTGGGTTCCAGGGAAATTTTTTTCGCCAGACAGAAGACTATATTTTTATATATATATATATATATATACACACACACACACACACACAGTATAAGTTTTAAACAAACAATTTAATACTGTACACAGCAATGATGATTGTGAAGCTTGGTTGAGGTTGTGGAGTCAGAGGGAGGGATATTTCCCAGGGAATGCCTTACTGCTAAATGATGAACTAGCAATTGGCTGAGCCCTCAAGGGTTAACTCATTGTTGTTAATGTAGCCTCACACTCTACAAGGCAGCAGGAATG